CTCCGGAGCCTCAAAACATTGGAAAAACACAGTGTTTCGCGACTTTCCTACCTTTTCGCGCACCTACATCTTCTTTCTTCTGACTCTTTCTCTTCTCTGATCTTCTCTCTTCTACTCTTCTCTTCTCTCTGACTCTTTCCATCTCTGCTTTTCATTTGTCCATATTGTCGGAAGTTTGACTTCTAAACTTCCTTCGATTATAGTAATATGATTAATCCATTCCCATGATATTGGATCTATAATATGCATCCATCTATTATTGTGGGGGGGCTTGATCAGAGCCTTTGTCCTCCCCTTCCCAACCCCCGCCTAGCAGACTTCAGCCTGAACCGACCAGCATGCAGTTCACTCATCAACCAAAGGTTGGACTGGCCGGGTCATCCGTTGATGTTTATCTATGTATTCATGCATCATCCTTAATCAAACAAAAAAACATACATCATACATCATACATCATACATAGACATTTTGCCATCTACACATAAATCATATAATATATATATATGTATAATATATATATAAATATATATGTATAATATATATATATATAATATATGTATAATATATCTATATATATATAATACTAGTATGTATTATTTATATATAGCAAGCCCCAAACAGCCAGGCGCATTTCTCCGAGGCGCCGCAGCATTTCTCGAAGCCTCGGTCATGAGTTGGACAGGGCAACCGTACATGATGTAATTCTGCGTATGTAATTATATATATATATCATTTATATATTGTTATATAATACGGATATATATAATTACACAATTACATTTACAGTTTAACTATACATACCCATATAATTCTATAATTCTATATACGTATAAAGGTGAAACATGGTGAAACCACCAGGCAAAACCGATTTTGAACACATCTTCCAATACCAGTTTTGAGAGCGGCCCGTCAAACCTGATCCGAATGACTTGTGGATGGTCGCCTGATCAACAAGCCTCTAAAACAACTGTTCCTTTGCCTAAGACGAAGATTCAACATGATTCAACGCCCAAGTCCCTCAAAGCCTCATGCCGGACATGCCGGACATGCCGGACATGCCGGACATGCCCGGCATATGTGCAGCACCGAGCGCCCACGCTCTTGCAAATCACGGTGCGACAGGCTCACCACATAGGTTTGATCTGTCGAAGCCTGGTCAGGAAGTTGGCTGTCAAGACATCCCCGCATCTGCCCAGGGGAAAGACAGATGGCAGCCTCTTTTTCCCTAATTTTCATGTCAGTATATCAAGAAATCAGAGTTCCATGCCCATTTTACAGCTCGAATGTCCAAAATCCAAAGATGTCATTTTCGATCGAATGAGTCCCAACACCTAAAAACCGAATGATTTCAAGCCTCAGATATAGAAAATTGGCCACAAACTTGCCAATCACATTGGTCTATTTTTGGCCATTAGTTTGCCATCACAAAAACGCGCTCCTCGGCGCTTGGCACATGCCATTCACCCAAGCTTGGCTCTGTAGGTGGCCACCTGGGCGAGAAGAAGACATCCAGGACATGTTGAAGAATGATGGACTTTCTGTGTGATTTCACTCAAAATGTGGATCTTAAATGAGATTAAGCCTTGGAAAACGTACATGATGCTGTTCAAATTGCGCAAACCTGCAAAAGCAAGGAAGTTGAAGGTATAGGAAATTGCGACGTTCAATGATTCAACATAAGAAAATGAGATGTACTCGACAAGAAACATGAGGAGTTGTCCAAGGATAGGGAAGATTTGACCGATCAAAATGTTGTCAACAGCCACAACATATACAAATATGCTACAAAACGTCGGTATTGGAGCAGAATAAGGCTGGATAACCGTACAGGGTGGTGCCCCATAGTCAGCAAAGTCGGCTTATAACTCCAATAACTAAGGTGAAAATGGGGGTTCTATTTGTAGTTAATGGGGATTGTAACACCATAACTGGGGAGTACCACCCTGTAGGAATCGGAAACAATGACCATCGACCGTACAAAGCAGGGATCCCGAGGTTCGCGTTATATCATTATATATTATATTATATTATATTATATTATATTATATTATATTATATTGTACTATATTATATTATATTATATTATATTATTATTATATTATATTATATTATATTATATATATACACCGCGAATAATGTATTCATACTGTTTATACTAGTTTTACTAATTTTACTATTTTTACTATATGTAGAATATACAGTGACATGATATGTGTGGTAGATATACATTATACACATTATAGATAGATATTATATGCATATATTACAGATCAGCACTGTGTATATATATATATATTACAGAAAAACATGTGTATCTATCTATCTATATATATATATGTGTGTGTATTCGATATGCACTCTCTCTATATATATATATATATCAGCAACGCGCCTGTCATTTTCCACTGCAACATTGAGAGATCCATCGCCAGCAAGACCGCTTTGGTCCAAAAGCTGGCACTTTCACCCAACCAGACCAAGACGTTGATCAGGGCGGGTTTTTGACACATTGGGCTGGGGAAGCTTGAGAGTGATCATTGTAGTTGCATGCTTGAAGTCAAGCAACGCGCCTGTCATTTTCCACTGCAACATTGAGAGATCCATCGCCAGCAAGACCGCTTTGGTCCAAAAGCTGGCACTTTCACCCAATCTTTCCACCACCCTCTCCAAGCTCCTCATCGTCTTTGGTCTGGAAGAGGTTCCACCATGTAGTGGGTGGGATTGCAGAGTTCAGGAAGGCCACGGACTGTCCCAAGATTTTGGTGAAGTTCCCAGCCAGCTGATTCACCCTAATCTTGGTCTGCCTATCCAGTGTTTCTGCAAAGGTGGTGTAGAGGATTTCCTGAAGGTATATTTCCATAACCTTGTTTGTGACCCAACGTCCCCTACGCCGCACTTTTTCTGAGTCTTCCGATTCCAGCAGCATATGTGTAGCGCCCCCAGGGCGAAGGCTCCCTAGGCTGAAGGGATATCGCCCTTTGATCTTTTCTGTCGCCAGCCCAACTCCCGCTAATAGGCAGCAAAAGCGCTTTCTCAGAGTAGCTGCTGAATAGGGCCAGAGTCTTGTTGATGATGGGCACTTTCCATATACTGCTGAAAGTAGGCTCAGCACATCCGGTGGGTCGATGCGCGCTGCTTGATGGCGTGCTGCACGCCCACGTGTTTTCGGTGTCCGGATTCTGAGGAGGCCAAAGAGCACGCCTGGCATCGAGTCTTCTGGGGGTATCAGGTCACCTCGCTCAGCAATCAGGACTTCCCCAATGCGAAGAAGCCCACACCAGGTCAAACTAATCACTGATGCCTCAAGTGGCCACCCCCAAAGCAAAGCCAAGGCCACAATTGCTAGGAGGATTGATAGAGGCAAAGCAGGATGATGTTCACCTGGTTCATCTGACTGCCAGGCGAAGGCCAGGTCCCAAGCTCCAACCAACTGCTTCCTGATGACCGGTCTGGCCTGTGCCACAGCGTTAATTGTCTCAGCAAACTTCCCATACGCTTTTCCAGATAGGAACATATCCTGGCCATAGGCGGTGAGCCACTTGCAGATCTCCTCAGGGTCAGGCGGTTTTGCTGAAAGCAGCTGAGACAAAGAAACCTTGTGCACCTCAAACAGCCAGCACCGAAAATCTGAAAGCAGCTTTGTTCTCCGGTTCAGCGTGTCTTGTCTGGCCACACGCGTGGCAACCAGTTCAATCCCCTTCCGTCTTTCTGCACGACTCCTCTCAAGCGAAGTCAAAGGCTCCATGGCGTCAGCTAGGCTAAGTCCAAAAATCAAAATCCACAACAGCCTATAGGGGGCTCTTTGTACAGGACAAGACGTGACAACCCAGCCCACGACCATGTATGAGACACCGAGAGCCAGGACAAGAGGGAAAATTCCATTGAGAAAAGTCCAAACAAAAGTCCATGACATCGAGAGGGGGTGCCCATAGAGTCGGTCAAAATCCAGGATGACTGACAGACAAGATTCAGGGAAAGTCCAAAATGAAAATCCATCACTGTGCTGAGCCTGAGCAGGGGATTGCAGAAGAAGAAGCAAGATGCAGAGGCGGAGCCAGTTTGAAGCCCAACGAGAGAGCTGGCATGAGTGGAGAAGCTGGATCTGCTGCTGGCTAAGACCCTTCCGGACAGAGAGAGGAACAGGACTTCTCACTGGTACTCGTCGGGTCGGGTCATCAGCTATGTTGAGCCGAGTTGGAGCAAAATTCCATCCAGGATAAAGTCCAAAGGCTACCTGAATGGCCGAGCTCCTCTTGCAGGTTCTTTGAAGTCCATCGGCAGAGCTCCTGCCCTTCGCCAAAGCCCCTTTCGCCACTCGGGAGTCCATGAGGGCTACAAACCGGCTATCTGGCTGATCTGAGGCAGCTGCTGCTAAAACACCAAGGCCTCCATGAGCTTCCAACACATTGATATGGCTCTTGCGCTTCCAGTGCCAACACTTGCGAGTTCTCCATTTCTCCGTCAGCAAAACATCATTCGAAACAACGCTCTCAAGGCCAAAAACATCTGGGCCCCTCTCCTCAAAAGCACAACCCAACCTCAAAACCCGGCTGAACTCCTTTGCTAGGTGCTCTGCAAGAGGCCAGGTGTAGACTGCTGATCCCTTGGTAAGCTGGCCCTGGATCTTCACATGTGAGTGGCCCCCAGGACATTTGACTTCAAGGCGGAGAGGGTCAAGGCCATGCAAAAGAAAAATGAACTCTTTCTTGTGAGGAGAGGCAAACTGGCAGGATGCGATGACTGCCTCGCAAAAGCCCAGTCTCTTCAGGGCTCTCCAGGCTCTCATCCACGCCATCTTGCTCCGTCTCGGCTGCTCCTTCCCACATGGCCTACCAAACTTCCTTCCATGACGCAAGAGCACAAAGGATCTGAAAGCGAGGACATTTCCTAGCCTGGTCTTGGGGCATCGCCTGTCAAAACCTTCTGGCTCAACGTAAGACCGCACTGCTGGATGTGCGGCAGGTGAGAATGTTGTGCATGGAGGCTCTGTAAGGAAAGCTTTGAATCTTCCCTCCTCAATCATGTACAGGCACCATTCCAAAAGCCTTTCATCAGTCATGTCATAGTGCTTTGAGGCAGTGAGGTCGAGGCAGGGAGCTACTGAGTGACCCAGGGCTGCAACACATGAAGAAACGCGGCCAGAACCACCAAAGAACTCCACAAAGTCAAAGTAAAGCAAAGGACCTCTCTTGGGGGCCTTGAGGTGATCAGGCCCACAGGGCTCCGCAACTTCTTCACCCGCAGCAGCAAGAAGCGCCGCAGCTGGCGCATCCAACTTTGAATAGCATCCTTTCTTGTCACTCCCAAGCCACAACACTTCGACAGTCTCAGGATCAACCTTTGCTGAAACAACCGCCCCAAGGCCCAAGGAGGCATCGGAAGCGCAGACCTTCTCATTGTACTTCACTGCTATGTTTGAAACTGCAACTGGCGACAACGCTGACAACAGGACAAGCTCCTGGGCAACCTTCCTAGTGAGGGGCACTGCCGTGTTTGGTCCGCTGGCTTCAGCCTCAGCTCCAAGCTTGAAGAAAAAGTCCACACTTGAAGTAAGGCACCTCCGGTAAAGCAAAACTGATGTCCAGCTGCCCGCTAGTCTGGCCAGGAGCTTTGAGGATGCAAACCTCAGTCTCGCTGCACGCAAGGACAAAGCAGCCAATGCCAGCCGCTTCTCAACAGGGGCCCCAACCAAGGTCAAGCCTCTTTGAACTGCTGCGGCCGATGAAATGATCTCCGCACCAGCTGCCTTGAAAACATTCTGGGCATCGATGTCCTTCTCAACTGAACCCTCCAAGCCTGCAGCCTCGTAGATACAACGAGCTTTCGCCAGAGCCTTTGAGGCAAACGTGTTCAGAGGGCTCGTGGTGATGGGCTCGCATCCTATCGCAAAGTAGTCATCAATGATCAAGCCCTCAATCTGGCGCTGCAAAGGAAACAGGGCATGACCAAAAAGCCTCCTAGTGCTCTCAAGCAAACCTCCTCTCTGCAAAACCTCTTCATGTGCCTTCAACGCAAACTCAACTCCTAAATGATCTCCCTGAAAAAGTGAGCCAAAACAGGGAAACCATTTCCCCTCAACTGCAAGGTCGTCCGCGCCTTCAGCCAAAAGTCCAAAACCATCTCCAACGCTCTCACGTTGCTTCTTGGTAGGCTGCGTCGATCGCGCCTCCTCAAGGGCTCTTGTTCCATCAAGCTCCTCCTCTGAAAAGGCAAAGGCAAGCATATTTGACTGCGCGCGCTCCTCACTAATCTTTGCCTGGTGGTAGAAATCCCGTCGGTCAGTGACGGATCCGACAACTTGCTCAACAAAAGGCTCAACCCTCAAGTTGGTCAGGAGAAAGCCAGGGGGTAAATGGTGTGAAGGCCCATCAATCGCACGCTCCCTGGAGTTTGGAATCCTTCTGTCACCTATCTGCCGATCTAGGTGGCGGTTCTTGTAGGCATTGAAGGTCTTGCAGAAGTGGTCACGCATCAGGGGCTTTCTGTGAAGTCTCAAAATCCCCTTGCTATCCCAAAGCTTCGCCAACTTGAGATTCTCACTGCGCTCCTCCCGTCTGAAAACTGGCCAAACTGAAACATCATCTGGCTCACCATGCAACAGAAAACGCGGCTCTTGAAATGGCAACCAAAGCGGGCCCGACAAAAAGTCTGCCATAGGCCATTCTCCAGTTCCAACAATCTTCAGGCGTGAGGCATCAAGTGACCTGTAAGGGAGGAGCTCAGGGTGGTCTGCAAAGGGGAGGAGGTGCTTGTCCTCCTTGAACTTCACTGGTTTTCGCTGAACATAGCTTTGGCTCAGCTCCGGATGGAGATCTGCAAACCTCTCCATCTGCAAAAGCGCTGCACCTAATTCAGGCCCGGATCGGCCAGGGACGGCAATGAACTGCTGCTCACCCTCCCCACACACAGCTATGAGAGACCGCAGGCGTTCAAACACCTTCATCTGCTCGGCATTCGGTCTCCTCTCAAGCTCAGATCTTGTAGGAAAACGCCCAAGGTACATGTAGTTGAGGGAGAAGACAACTATGTGCAAAAGTTTCTTCCTTGCCCAGGCTAACCTTGAAATCTTCTTGTGCTTGAGGCCCTTCTCAGAAAAACATCCAGGATGAGGAACTGGCAAGGGGAAAGCTGTGGTTGACGCGTCACAAGGATCGCGCCATGTTGCAGTGAAAGATCTCCAGAGGTGCCATGAAAAAGCTGTGCGACACCTCAATATCCACCGTGGCAAACAAATGGCCCATGTGGAGAAGTCAAGCATTGTAGAAAGAGGATTTGGCTCCGGCTCCTCCTTCTCAAATTGAATTCCATCTTCATGCAAACGTGTCCAGCGCTCATTCAGCCTTCCACTTCCTCGGCGGCAGGCAGTGCTCCTTTTCCACGGCCCTTTTTCTTTGGCTGCTGTTTCGCTTTTGCCTTTGGGGCCGCTGCACCTTCGGACGAAGCTTCGAAACCCACCCTTCCAGCTGCGTTCATCTCGTTGCGCTTGTTGGAGATGACCTCCATTTCTTTGAGAAAAGCTAGGGCACATGTGACCCAGCGTTGATCCGCTAAGGGTGCGAAAGAGCGCGCCCTCGAGGTCGATGACAACTGGCGATTCACAAAGATGCTGGCCGGAGGGTCCTCCTGCAAACAAAGGAGGGTCGCCAATTCCATTCGTCCTCCGTCGAGTGCAGCCTGTTCCAGAGTCACTGCCAAAAGTGCCACTCCGTCCATAGCAGCCAAGTAGTTCTCTGCCATGAGAAAGTCCATGATCATCATGACCTGATACTGAATCTGTCCCAGCTCCTTCACCCTGCCATAGCCCCCAAAACGTTCCAGGTAGCGCACCCCTGAAACACCTCTCTCCAAAAGCTCCATAGCTGTCGCTGAAGGATTGCTGGTTGGCGCCATCCTCCGGCTCATGCTCTGCAGGACACTCTGGAAAAACAAACCTTTGTGCTGGGCCAACTCCAATTGAAGCCTGGATCTCGTTGCTGCTCCTCTGGTCCCCGCTGTCGATGAGGAGCCGGTCAGCTCCGACAGGGGGTCGTTCTGTGAGCTTGCGATTTGAGCCACAAGCGATGTCAAAGCTTTGCTCTGGGCCAAAACTGCTTGGGCCAATGCACCGTCGGAACTCAGGGAAGACCCTTTCAAGCCCTCCAGCCTCTCTTCTGCAAGCTCCTCGACTTCCAACTGCTTGGCAATTCCAGGGGAAGCCAACAAACCAAGGCTCGCTCTCTCTTGAGTCCTGGGAGGTGGCTGCAAACTCTTGACCAGGTCTGACACAGGAGGTGGTGGGCCAGGCAAGGAGGTACTCAAGGTTGATCCTAACGCGGCTGCAGACGCTTTTGCTGTGGGGACCACTGCAAGTCGACTCTCGAGCAAGGTCTGGCGCTCGGACATCACTGTCAACTGCTTTGTAATCTGCGGGAGTGCATCGAGGATCCCTCGCATCTCTGTCGCAAGGGTTGCTGTTGTAGGCCTCTTGGGCTTTGCACCACCTCCTAAAGGAGTAGCCTTTGCGGGAGGCTTTCTTCGCCTTGGTGTGGCAGGGGTCTCCTCTGCACCTTCTGCCTCCTCTGGGGTATAAAAGCCAACCCTCATATCTACGGCCTGACTCACCCACGTTCTGATTTTTGGCAGCAAGGCATCCATTGAGGGCAAGGCGTACGGCGAATCCTCGTCGTAATTGTAGACCAGCTCCTCCTGGTATGTGAAAGCCCGCATGTGTTTCACAACGTCTATTGAGCAGTCTATCACCATGACATCGACGTCTGTGCCAGTGGGAGAAACAATCTCGTCCTCGATGATGATGGCTGGGACTGTGAAAACCTGAGAGGGTCCAAAAATCCCCTCCAAATTCCCTTGGTTGCCCTCTGACACCAATTGCCGAGGCAAAAACGTTTGAGGTAGGACGAGAAGGATGCCGCCCTCTCGCCTCATAGCTACCAAAACTGTGGCTTCGGCCTCTCCATCCTCTTCTTCTCCCAATGGCCATGAAAGCACGTATGGCTCTACGGCCGACTCCGCAAGCACCAAGCTGTCTGCATCGAGGCCACCTTCCATACCGTCCATCACATTCATGCTTTAGACTCGTAGTCCACGATGCCTGCACCGGCAAAGTAGATCTTGGCTTCCAGCTCTGATGGAAACCCGTGAGTGATGCTGCTTGAAGATGTGAGATCACCAATGATCCCCCAATAGGTCCCTGCGGACCGGCAAATGGTAGGCAATGATACGCCTGTTGCCCTGAGCACAGCGTAAAAGCGAGGACGTAGATCCAACTGAGGAGTCCTGTTCGGCGACAAACAGCGCCCGTCTGCAACCGCTTTCGCCCACTGGCCTGCTTTCCAAGCTCGTTTGATACGTTCTTCTCCACTGACTGAAGAACCTGACAGCTTCTTCGCAGAGTCCAGGAAATGGGTCGGGCAACTGTTGAAAGTGGCCTCGATGTCAGCTCTTGTCTCAACACGTCTGGCAGGAGGACAAACAGCAGCAGACTGGCTCTGATAAGAAACCAGATCAAAAGAAAGTTCTGATGCCGGAGGGGAAGAAGAACGAGGCTGAGGAGGATCAAGGCCAAGGACCTGTTGCAGCAGTGAAGTTGCCTGATCAGAAGGGCCCTGTATAGTAACTCGCAAATCCCCCACTCTACACTCGAGTTCCACACTACCTGCGCCGTTGGAGCTGCTTGGCATCCAGATACCCAGCCAGGGCTGAGTGTCGGTCAACAGGAGGTGAGGGATTGCCAGGGGCAGCAGCAGGGGCAGATAGATTAGAAGGTGGCGGGAGGCAAGTCCAAAGAAACCAACAGCCAGCCGAGGCAAGGATAAGTCCACAAATGAGGCCAAGGAGGAAGGTCAGGGCTAGAGATGCCCAGGATGGCTCAGCACAGTAGACAGGGCACCCCCACCCGTAGAAATTTGTCCTGGCTCCCTGCAAAATCAGGGGGACGGCCTTCAAGACACCTTCGAGCATGAAGCTTGAGAGTGATCATTGTAGTTGCATGCTTGAAGTCATATATATATATATTACATATACACATTATATGTGTTTCGAGATGTACACAATGTGTATGTATATATATATATAATTATATATATATATATTATACAGATACATGTGTATATATGTGTCTATCATAGATATACATGTGTAATGTGTATGTATGTTATATATATATATATATCGCATACATTGTATATATACACTGTTTGTTTTACACCAACATCACTAACGTCCAAACTATACGACACTCCAGACTTTTGATCCTTCAAAACATGGAGGAAAAAATCCAACTGCTCCAGGCTTAAGGTTGCCCCGGCGTGTCGCTTTCCTCCAGCCCCTTTCTGCTTTCACTTCGAGTGGCAGAGATGGCCCCAGAAACTGATCTTGAGCACCCTGACAGCAAGAGGAAGACTTTCTTCTGATGTTTTTCCCACAAAATCAAGGATTTTGAGGGATTTGGGGGGAGATCTTGGGGGGATCGCCTTCAGATCCACACATTGCCTCAGAGTATCCAAAGTTTTTGAGATGTTCCCCTGATGTCCAGTGATGAGTCTCGCAGATCACCTCGGATAGATACACAACACACGAAAAAGTCAAGGTATGAAAACTCTACGACTCTACGTCTTTCTGGTCTGTTCGGCCCTTGTTGCTCACTTCCCAACCTCTTTCCAAAGGGATTTATCACTGGAAGATTTTGAAACCTTCCCAGGCCTTCACATCTGATCCGAGCGAGCCTGGGAACCGGCTGGTCCGGGGACCATGGAGACCATGGATTTTTATCCTGGTGGTAGAGTTTCTGCTGGATGCTCTGACAAGAAGCTGTCAATTAAATATGAAATTCAACTGTTTGGGCAGGTCTGGAAATGTGAATTCAATCGCGCTGAACATTTTACACAAGCACTCGACACTCGATAGACTGATTGGGAACGTTGAGCCAGCAGTATGTGCGCGATGTCCTGAAATAAATTGGACGCCATGCTATGAGTCACTTCAAGACCACACCTATGACACAACAGCCTCCACCACAACCACAACCGGGTCACTTCACCTCGAGGTAGGCCCAGTACATTATTTGATGGTTTATACACCACTCACGTCATACCCAGGTTTAGTGTATAACTGCTTTAATGTTTTAAAATTGTGCCAGCATAGACCCCAAATAGCAAGAGGATGCAAAAGGTGTTCGTGGGAAGCACTTGAATGTTTTTTCTAATGCGCACAGCACACCGACACCAGCACCCTGCAGCGGCACCCTCACCCTGCAGCAGGGGCACCGGCAACCAAGTTCCAAAGCGCACACAGCACTTTCACAGCAGCACCCTGCCGCAACTCTGATAGCAGCACCTTGCAGCAGTGTGTTGCAGCAGCGCGTTGCAGCGGCACCGGGACCCCGGCACCGGGACCCCGGCAGCGGCACCAGCAACGACATTCTGACAGCAGCACCGCAGCGGCACCACCAGCCAAGCTCCAAAGCGCAAACAGCACTGTAACAGCTGCACCTTGCAGTGCAGCGGCACCAGCACCCTTCCACCGCACTCTCCAGCGACCAAGCTTCAAAGCGCACAAAGCACTCACAGCAGCATCCTGCAGCGGCACCCTGCAGCACCAGCAACCAAGCTGAAAAGCGTACACAGCGGCACCCTGAAAGCAGCACCCTCCAGCAACACCCTGCAGCAGCGGCACTAGAAACCAAGCTCCACAGCACAGACAGCAGCACTCTGACAGCAGCACCCTGCAGCGGCGCCAACAACCAAGCCCCAAAGTGCAAACAGCATTTTGACAGCAGCACCTTGCAGTAGCACCCTGCAGCGGCACCAGCAACCAAGCTGCAAAGCGCAAAAAGCACTCTAACACAACCACCTTGCAGCGGCATCTTGCAGTGGCACCCTGCAGCGGCACCAGCAACCAAGCTCCAAAACGCAAACATGCAACTCTTCTTATACTTGAAGTAAGAACCCCCTATCTGGGGAAAAAATTGGCGTGTTGGTCACTTTTGTTCGTAACCCCCAAAAACACAATGCCGAATTTCGTACTTTGCCACCACAAATTCGCAGGGTTTTATCTGCCAAAGCCGCACCGGCACTGCAACGACGCACTCGGCCGAGGTACTGTTGGAGCTTCCAGACTCTTGCCCTCGGAAACACAGATTCTTTGGGATCATGAACAGGATTCAACACGGGGGACAAAATGGTGATGTGCATCGGATATCCCCATAGATAAGGTATAAATGGCTATAAATGCCATAAATTGAGGATTGGATGAAAAATCGGCCTAGAAAACCGACCATAATGCCGCCCTCTTTGTTGGTGACACCCCGGGGAAGGGGGGGAGAGAGGCCTGTATAATATACATATGTTACATATATGTAAATAAATATATATATATATATTTGGAAACATGTTTCAAATGTAGCATTGTTGTTCTTGTGACCTTTTGGATCTGGTGCTTGCCTTGGCTGGCTCTAAGGATGCAGTATTTTCGCATTGCCCTGTGTCTCAACACTGGCAGACGTGGGACAAAACACATATGAGGCTCAAACCTCAGGCAAATCACATCTAAAATACACATGGTATAAAAACAATTTCAACCAAAACATGCTTAAAACTTGAGTTTTGCCAATGAATGCACAAATACACGCAGTCAAAAACAGTGGGGCCAAGACGCTGCCTGTGTCCTTTGATTTTTCCCATTTGGGTTTGTCGATCATCATGTTCCCAGTAAAAATCCCATTTAAGGGTATCGGTATCGCCCATGTTCAACGAGAATGTTAAAGCCACTTATAACTGATCTTCCACTTCAATGGAGATATTCCGGGCTGGAATTTCGACCCAACTTCTTGATTTCGACCCAGCTGGTGCAAGTGTTTTTTCAAAATCATCCAATATCCAATTTCATCCAACCAATCAACAAAAATCCACAAGATCATCCACTTGAATCTGGAAAATCCCCATCAAACATGGAATCACATGGAGCTTTATTGCGAAACTCATCGCTTGCTGGTGGATTTTCCAGTGAGGATCCTCCGATCGAAGCAGTTGAACTGACGGCGTTCATATTGGTTATAAACTACTTACGTGTTGCATCCAATCCAGAAAAGTGACGATCTTCATATTATAAACAGTGAAAAAAAAAAACAGTTTGTCATCCCCCCTCAAGTTTAGAAAAGTGAAGATCTTCAGATTATATCCATAATTCTCCACCGCTTCCGCCCCTTCCTGCGTTTTTTGTTCCAAGGATCTGTTCCAGTCATCAGTGTCTCCACTGTTGATGCCACCGCCCGAACTGCCAGACCCGGAATGGCTGCTGCCCTGCCGAGCTTGGAAGATGAGGAGCACATCATGTGGACATGTTATGTATTGCAAAATGTATCAGATGTATACATAAGGTATTAAGGTATTGTATACAATGTATTATACATGTGTAGTATATAGATACACGATGTAGTGTGTATTTGTATATAACTCTGAATATTTTTATATATGTATATATATATATGTATATATATAATATATGTATCATATATCATATACCATGTATAATATTTGAGACGTTCCCCTATACCCAAATGCTAAATAATCTTGGGATGTTCTTCCTTGCCAGCATTTTTGAGGTCGGCTGGTGTTTTCCATTGTTTTCCAAGCGGATCTGGAATGCACCTCATTTGGACATCCCTTGAAATGGACTTCTTGTGGCTTCCTTCCACCATAAAGTCTTTTTGGGTGAACCTAGAAAAACTTTGCCTTATCATAAGTTTTGAATCTGTTGACTTTGCAAAAATGGGGAATCTTTTTGACCTTCCAAAAATTTCCAAAAAAACGATGGCCATATCGAAATGGCCATGGAATTCACGACGTTCAACCGGGCCAGACCTTGGTCGAGCTTCCGCCGGTCTGTGTGGAACCACTGGTGACAATCTCCTCCGTTTCCTGCAGGGCTCCACCAGTCACATGGAGGATTTTTCTTGGGGAATATGTTATATACATCATATATGATTATGATTGCACTTTGTAATGTGTATTTGTCTATAAATTCTAAAACTCTATATATATAATTATATATATACCCTGAAGAATGGATGGTTAATACATGTTAGGACTAAAATGGTGACCGAAATTCTTGGTTTCAGAGCCTTGGTGATGCCTCCTGATGGGGATTGAAAAAAAAACCTTCCAAATGGGCTCGAAATTGGACTCCGCCCCCCCCACAAAAAAAAGGTTCTATTGTAGTGAACACTGAGGTGGATGATTCATACTCAACCTTGGACCACTACCCCTGAAGCCCCAAAAGATGAGCTGGGGTGGGGTGGGTGTGCATATACGCGCGGCTCATGATCAAACAGAAACATCGGAGGAATAAGATGACCCATCTACTGCGAACAGACAATGCCAACAAAAAAAGTGCGACCGCCCACAGCATCCTGTTGGCTACATCCCATAGTAATGGTGTTGGCTAATGTCCCCGATATTTTCCATTTTATCCCCACCGAAAAAAAAGAAACATGTTTGATCTTAAATCCCACTTTTCATAGTTAAAATCAGCCCTTTTTGGATGGTTTCATCACCAAACTGCCGCTTGGGTCGTCGATTTGAACCTTCGGAACTCGACGGGGCTGACCCCTGAACTCGGCACCTGGACCAAAGGGAGTCACAGAGATTTCATGGGGGTTTTCAGAGCAACAAAATCCATGGGGATTTCATGGGGGTTAATGGGATTTAATGGGCCATCAAAAAATATGAACCACTTTTGGTGAATCATCTCCAAAGTCTATGGGTATGTCCAATGATCTGAATCATCGTAGGTATTGCTAAACCCAACCATCAAACATTGGAAAAAGGATACCCCTGGTACTTTAACATAGCTACTGAAAACCATTTCGTTCCTTGATTTACCTCTTAAAAATGATGATTTCCTATAGCATTCTGTCCCATGAAACTCCATGAAATCAATAGTTTTGACTGGTTTAACCACCATTTTTCATAGGTCAACCACCCTTTGAACCCCGCACCTGTCATGGAAGTTTCCATCTTCTCGTCCTCCTCTTCGTTGACCTCATCATCGAAGCCGCTGGGTTGATACTTGTGCCTCGGCTTCATCGGAGGTTCAAAGAAAGTTTTAGGGGATAACAAATATTTCAACATATCTAAAACGGTGGTTGACCTATGAGAAATGGTGGTTTAACCATGAAAAATTGAGGTTTAGTTTAGCTATGAAAAATGGTGTTCTAATCATGAAAAATGATGATTTTATGGAATTTCATGGGATAGAATGGGGATACAAAAGCATTGAAACCACGTGTAGATCCGAAATACGTCTCTACATTTTGTCTACATGTGTCTTTGTTTGATTGCGCATTCTAAATATGCACAGTATGATATATATATATATATATACATATATTGATCTCAAACTCACACACGTTTTACTTATCTATACATATATCATCATATATCTGGGTAAATTACAATATTTCACTAACCTCAAAAGTTCGGCTATATTATATAGGATAGTTGTCCCTACTAACCATCATTACAGTGGCGTCGCAGTAAGGTTGTTATGATTTTCCCCTGATATGTTTGGAGGTTTCATGGGGCCATGGGGGCACCCCCAAATCATCCATTTTTGGGGTGGATTTTCCATGAAATGAACCATCAAGCCAGGACTTAGGAAACCCCCATTTGTCCAGGTTGTCCGACACTGAAACTTCCACGCCGTCGATGATGTGGGTAGAGCCCTGATGCTGGATCCCACAAAAGGGGCCATAGGATTTGACCATCAAAAATGGAGGATTTCATCACGAAAAACAAACACGGTATTATTTAATGATTCAGTGCGGATTTGCCCCACAAACATGGGAATTGGCTAGAAAATCAAAAAGGGTTCGCAACTTCGCAACTTGAGCAAGCCAAAAAATGATGGAGACATCCTTGCGGGAATCAAACATGGCCAGGAAATCCTAGTTTCTCACGGTAGGAAAAACATCAGTGGGGACTTGCTGTCCATTGCCAGTTTTGACCATTTGAGGGGTTCCATCTTCCGACTCAAAGAAACCAGCTGGATTAGTGAAGTGATGGGCAATCATGGCAACTTTCTTCAGCCAACCGGTGTCACCCTGCTAAATAAACCTTCTGGTAATCTAAAATCGCCATGGAAAATGACCTATTGTAGATCATTTTACCTATGAAACATGGCCGTTTTCCATGACTAGGTTGGGTTACACAAAATTCGGAGGTAGATCAGTCTGCTTTCTCCTTGGGATCAATCTTCACCAGCTGGTCATCTCCGGTGCTAATTAGTTCCCAATGATACTTACAGCATCTTACAGCCTAGTTAGCCTGGTTATGGCTCTGTCCAAAGTGGAGCCCAAATGGCTACATGATAATTTATGGTCATGGGGAAATGATCATAACACCATGGGATTTGAGGGCCTATTCTCACTCAGATGACAGCAAATGTGCCCCAATTTCTCCGCAGCTGCCCAGCCTTGTCAAGCACCTCAGCTCAGGGCGCGTTAAAAAAATCATTCCACTGACGATCCAAAAAGAAAGAATGGCGCCAAAATTGATTCGAGGTTCTGGGATGATTCAAGTCGACACTTACCCATGGCTGTGTGGCAAAATGTGGTGACCCACAACATCCCGTATCCAATGGCTTGACGGCTTGACCCACAAGCCAGGCTCTGTGGCACCCGAGTACCCCAGAGTTCATGGTTTGTCACCATTCTGCCTGAAAAAATAGCCATAAAATTGGGTCTATCCTCGATTTGGTGACAACTCCAGATGGTATTTGCTGGTCATATACCCATCATATTCCCTTATACATAATATACCCCTACCACAGTATATCAGTACATAATGTATGGTGGCTTTAAGCTCTCATTACAATTAGATCCCTATACTATAATAACTACTATAATCATGCATGGTTGGTTGAATGCCTAATTCCTAAAGACAATAATGATAACTCGTTTTGGCCATGGTGAGTTTCAGCCTCCATTGCCATCGTTCACGCCTTCTTCACAGCCGCAGGCGATTGCATGACCACGAGGCCGAAGTTGCCTTTTCATAGGGCGCAGCAAAAACAAAGCGGTGCCACTGATGAAAAATGGATCCTATGCCTCTAAGAAAAATGAAAATGTTGGTATAATTATAATCAAGTGTATTCAACAGTTGGAAGTTCGTCAAGCCATTCAAAATACCGATTTACTGCAGTTTGAACAAGCAGGGGCTGGCGATGGTCATTCAACTTGCCCATTCCCGGCCTGGTCTCGTCCGCGCAGTCTGACCCGAGTTTGGTAATGGCTTTACCTGCGATGATCTGCCACCAGAGACAAACAGTTTGGTCATTGTTTGATGGTAACAATAGTGGTTGACCCCCAGAAAGGCAGTGATTCAGTGATGTTTCTATAGGAAATCAACGGGAAATGTGAGGAATAAGTGCGCCTTGGAAGTGTGGTTCTCACCAACGCGCTCGCAAAAACTCGGCCCTCTACCCTGGCCTTGGAATGCGCCACGCACACCTGTAGCACCTGCCACAAAATCAGTACCAGAAAAAGCGGCTGGCACACTTTTGCTTGATTTTGCAGATAAGTTTGGGTTTTCAGGTCCCAAGGTTTCCATTTCAGCCAAGAATAGGTCGGAAACAAATTGAGGGACACAGCTCCAGCTGGGATTCCTAAAATTCCTGGACACCCAAATGGCACCCAAAACATTCCCTGGCCTTGCCAAATTTGGAATAATGACCTCAGCGAGCGGAAAACCACCCACATTTCATGCCGAAACAACGCCACCCAGTCATGGCTTTTCTGAGTTGCGCGGCTCTCCAGAGCAGTTTTGGAGCGAAAGCCAAGCTTATTGATGCGACGAACAATGAAGATGCACCTGTCAGCGACAGGAAAAGGTGGTCCCGGTGACAAAATCCATGAGTCCATCGGTGTCCGCGGCATGCCTGCCCAATGAGACTTTCGTCATCCTTCCCGAAAAAGGTTCAACGTTACGTATTGCAGTATGATTTCACCAAAGTGGCTTCCCATCCTTGGCGGTGGCCTCCCTCCTGATTTTCCCATTGAAACATATGAAAAGCTCCATTTAGTTCGGAGATTTCCCAGTGCAACCTTACAAATATGACATTGATGACAACAAGATCTGTTAATGACATCACAATAATTTCATCAACTATAGCTGTCAACCAACTGATAGGTAGAAAAAAGATGGGATAACCCACGAGTCATCGAAAGCAATCAACACTGTGACCAATCCGTTGGGTGATTCGTTGGATGATTCATGCGGTGTTTACCCAATTTCATGAACCATCCCCAAGTCATCACCATGTCTATGTGGGTGCTATAAATATCATCCCCAAATGGGAGTTGTTTCTAGCACTGGTTACCCCGCATGATAGGCAACCAAAGAAAGGAAGATCCCACGGATCGTTACCTGGTTAGTCACCCATAAAAATGCTGATTTTGGTGATTTTTTACTGGGTTTCCCACATGACATATCACCTAATGCCCATTTGTAGATGATGTGCCTATTAATCATTGTGGTTTTCCAGTTCACAAACTGTTAAATTGCCAAGTGGTAATTCTACTAATGTGAGTAAAGCAATAATAAACCACCCATATTCTTGATGGTTTATACCACCCATTTATGCATTTATGGTGATTTTGGGATGGTTTATATACTATTGCTCTACCAACATTACTCATTGATGACAACATCCCAATACCTCCCTGAACACCTCGGGTCCTCAGAGCGGAGCTCCTCCAAATAGCCACGCCTCAGTTTTTTTCGGGGCCTGCCTCCTTTGTTTCGTTGATCTTGGAACCGGATTTTCCTTGTGAAGCTTCCCTGAAAAACCCAATCTCATCAGATGTTACCGTTACCTTCAAATCTCAGAATGAACATATCACAATCTTTGACAACACAACCCAGTCATGCCTGTTGCGGGGCAGGGATGTTTTGAAATGTAACTCGGGGGGTGTCTTTTGATACCGGGTAAGCATGCTAATTTGTTGGTATAGGCAAAGGTTTATGCCCCTTGAGAATTTGTGGTTTTTGACCATCCAGTTTTCGGTCTACCCAGTTTTGACACATACTTACTACAGCACATCTGCCTATGCATCCGGGGACCCCAATAGCTCATCGTACAGCTGCATGTTCATTCATGGTGGGAAATTTGTCAGGAATGACTCATGATTGGTGGTACATCCCAATCTTTGCTGGGTGCCAAGATAATTTGCTGGTGAACGTGGCAGAACCCTCTGCGTTGCTGTGTTATCAGATGCCAAGGTCGTTCCAACATGGAGCAGATTGGAGCAGTCTTTTTGGGGTGATGAGAAAAATGCCTTTTTCAGTGCTACCTTCAGTTTATCCATGGCACGAAATCCACTTGGGATTGATACTTAAAATTGATGAGACATAGCTGGGGAACCATTGGATGCTTGGGATTGATTCTATGGGTGTGTCTTAAAATGGGGTCTGAGTCACGGAAAATCATGACAAAACCGTGGATGTTGGGGCGCCGATGATCGGCTCCAGTCCCAACTACGGGAATGGTGAATTTGAAAATCCTGGGCCCCTCCAACAATTATGGAAACAAAAGGTTCAGATCACATCCGAGAAATTTGAACCCTTACGAGGAAAACCGAATTATGGAACGAAACGGAGACAGGCGACGCTTGTCTAAGTTAGATTTTCTTTCCACAAATTTGTTGGATGTATCAATGTATCTATGTCGCTATGTCGCTAGCAGCTATGTCGATGTTGCTATGTCGCTATGTAGCTACGGAGCTATGTAGCTATGTCTCTATGTCTCTATATGTCTGTCTGTCTGCCCGCCTGTCTGTCTATCTATCTATCTACCTATCTACCCGCCTACCTATCTATCTACCTATCTACCTATCTACCCATCTACCTATCTACCTACCTACCTACCTACCTGTCGATCCATCCATCCATCCATCTAATCGATCTATGTATTGTTTTTTTCTATGTTTCTATGTGCATATGTGTGTATAGGTATGTTTGCATATATTCATAGATGTATAGGCGCGCGTATGTATATTATATGTATATTATATGTATACTATATGTATATTCTATGTATATTATATGTATAATTATATGTATAATTATATGTATATTATATGTATATTATCTGTATATTATACGTACATTATATGTATATTATATGTATATTACATGTATATGATATGTGAAAAAATGGTTGAGGACCCGACAAGGTCTGTTTCGGCCTCAACTTTTTGGCGAGCCGTCGCTGCTCCTACGTGGAATCAACTGACAAAACGGCTGGAATTGGGGGATGTGCTTGAAAAGTGGATGAAGGGAGAAACATAAAGTAGATGCAACCCATAAAATTGTGGGGAAGAGAGACTATACCTGGTTACCTGGTAAGGTCACATAACACTAACAAAACATAGGGAAAAGCTGATTGCTTTGAAACTACGATCTACCATTAATTAGGGGAATTGGATATAATAGCTTGAGTAACAACGTGACGAATAAAGATTGGGGTAGCCGCGTAGCCCTGCAAAAAACAACTCGCCATGGGATCATAATCCCGAGTCGACCAAAAATCATGACGATTTGACAACTTTTACGAAGGAAAAAATACTTTACTTCGTGTGATCCCCACCATGACATTTATCGATTTGTTACTGGCAAAGCTTCTGGCATATCTTCTGACGTCCCATCTGGCATTCTATCTGGCAAATCTTCTGACATTCGATCTGGCATTCGATCTGGCATATCTTCTGGCACTCTACCTGGCATATCTTCTGGCATATCTTCTGGCATATCTTCTGACGTCCTATCTGGACCTTCTATCTGGCAAATCTTCTCAAACATTCTGGCACCTTATCTGGCATACCTTCTGGCACTTTATCTGGCATATCTTCTGGCATTCTATCTGACATGCTATCTGGCGTTCTATCTTGCATATCTTCTGGCATTCTATCTGGTCGTTGAGGTCCAGCGGTGCTCACTGAGCTCGGAGGGTCCCAGCTTGAGGTCCAGCGGTGCTCACTGCGCTCGGAGGGTCCCAGGTTGAGGTCCAGCCGTGCTCACTGAGCTCGCAGGGTGTCTGGTGGAGGTCCAGCGGTGCTCACTGAGCTCGGAAGGTCCCAGGTTGAGGTCCAGCGGTGCCCAGTGCGCTCAGACCCTTGCAGTTGAGGTCCAGCAGTGGCCACTGCGTGCGGAAGTTGGCGAAGAGCTTGGCGAAGAGTTAGCAAGGCGGAAGTGGACATGGACGTGGAGGCAGAGGTGGTGGAGGAAAACGAGGAGGAGGAGAAGAACAACTCTGATAAAATCTAACAACCCTCACCTGGCAGGTGGGGAAATAGTAAACATATGATAAAACCATGCCCTGCACATCAAAACAAGTCTGTTCGGGTGTGTCACTGAGCCAGTTCTGAGTTGAGTCCAACTTACACAGTGTCGGCTTCTTCATCTTAAGTGGGGGATGCTCACAGGAACTGTTTCTACTGACAGTATATATGTATATACATACTTTACATTACATTACATTGCATTACATTACGTTACGTTACATTACATTACATTACAATACATTACATTACATGACAATACATTACATTACAATACATTACATTACATACATACATGCATAATTGCGTATGTAAATATATACATGTATATGTGTACACATAGTTCTAGGGGCTCGATATCCCAATAAACATAGTGGTTAGAATCCCATAGTACCCGTTATACAATAACCCCAGGCCCGACAAGGTTGCTGATGCGGCCCCGCAAGTCCTGTTCCATGTGGCGTTCAATCCTCCCACTTTGGTTGCTATCTTGCTCATCACTGGCCGGGCTGCCTCATGCTGTAGCTCTTTTTCGCTCAAAAAAGTCTTGCAGGAAACAGTTGTTTCACATCTGCGTCCAAACCCGTAGACCAACAGTTCACTTGGAAGAAACCATAATGTGGGTAAAACAATTATAAATCATCCCCCAAATCACCATAAATAGGTGGTATAAACAATATGGCATTGTTGTACCCACATTAGATGTTGATGAATGCCAAGCTGAACATGATCACATTCCCAGTCTCCCAGCGACGATTTCATACCGGGCCTTCCATCTCCCATGGGTTCGACTTCTCTGATCTCAGTCGATTTGGTCGGCTCCAAAACCAGGGGGGGAGTAGGCCCTGGGCCCTGGCCATCCAGATGATCATACAGACTGTGGGAAACCAGACCCGAAGAAATGAGCCAATTGGGGTCACCATTCCATGAAAACTTTAGGGAAATGAATGAAACCACCAGCTTTTGTTTTGTTATCTTGGTTAACATCCCAATTCGCGAAATCCTGGGTTTCTTCGTTAGTTAAAGTAAGAGTTGGAGACCCAACATGGCTTTTTGGTCGCTCATCTAGCTGGTTCAAAAGTCGTGAGCCTCGAAATGAGATTGTCTTAGAGTGCGAAACTCAACCAAGAATGCCAAAGTCAATCAAGAATAGTAAATGACCCTTTTGAAAACTCTTTTTTTGAGTTCCTATCATCACATGATCGGTTGGATGTGAGTCATTGAGAGGGCTTGGGTCTGAAATACCCCCTGCTGTTCATGGATAGGAAATTCTGACAATGGATCTTTGGTGGATGTGCCAGCTATTACTACCATTCATCTTGACGCCCTCATTGAGCAAGTAGTGAACACCCGTTCACTAAGAAGTGCCCAAATCCGGATCCCATTGATTGTGGATTCATGGATTATAGTAACCAAAAAAGAGGATAGAAAACTAAAGTCCAATCTTCTAATTCAGGTTACTCTACATACATATATGAATATTAAGATATTCATATACATAATTATGATGTAATATATACTATTAATTATGTTTGAAACAAAAACTGTGTGCATAGTATATTATAGTATATTATATTGTATTATACTATATTATATTATTACATTATATTATATCATATTATATTATATCATATTATATATTTATTATTATTGGTATTATATTATTATCATCATTATTCTTATATATATATATATATTATACAAGCACCGTACTTAAGTCACATCAGGCGGGAAAAGTCACATCAAAGTCACATCAGGGAAGAAGAATCACCATGGCACAGCCTGTTTCATCTATAATTGGAGATTTAGTATTATGTTATATATATATATATCATATTACATGTTACAAATATATATATATATTATATTCATATTTATATTTTATATATATATATATAATATTTATATTATATGTATATTATATTTATATTATATTTATATTATATTTATATTATATTTACATTATATATATATATTATATTTGCATTATACTTATATTCTATTTAAAACATATTTATATTATATCTATATTATAGATATATTATATTTATATTATATGTATATTATATTTATATTATATTTATATTATATTTATATTATAGTTATGTTATATTTATATTATATCTATATTATAGATATACTATATTTATATTATATTTATATTATATTTATATTATATATATATTATATTTATATTATATTTATGTTATATTTATATTATAGTATAGTATATATCAAATATATTATAGTATAGTATATATCAAATATATGTATATATATATAGCTCATATATACGTACGTATACCGTATACTCAGTAAGTAACCGCTTAGGATCCGCCTGGGATAATCCCGGCACCCTTGGGTGCCCCAACTTTGCTCCACCAAACGCCTGTTGCAGCGAACGCTGCGGCAAGTGAGCCTGCTCCGTTCGAAAAGCGGCGAGACTTCGGTCGAGTTCGGCGAGAAATAAATGAAGTCAGATGGGATACTATTCATTTAGTGGAATATCTCATATCTAATTGCTATTTTTATTCAGTGGATTTCCTTTCGAACGCGCGCGATTTTGGGGTATAATATAAGTGTTGGTCAACTTCATTTCATCGCAGCCAGTTTCGAAAAAACGCCTCAGGCGTGGGTAGGTGGCTCCGGCCCTGCGGCCACCTAGGCGCAGCGACTTGACGTCCCATCCCGTGGAAGAAGATGGAAAAATAGGGGAAAAAAGGAGCAAAAAGCCATAGAAATCCCAGTTTTGTTGGTGAAAAACCCATCGTATCTTTGTCACCGAATCCACTGGGCGTCGAACGGGAGTCCAGTGGGCAACAAGCCCTGCTGTGCGGAAAGGTCGAGGCATGTCGAGGCTGTGTGAGCATGTTTTGTATTTCGGAATTCTGGATGTACCAGAGAAACGAAAGAAACAGCAAAACCAGCCAGTAACAATCATTAACAACCAGTCACAACCCACAAATTCCATGGACAACTGATCAAATCAATCAACGCCTGATTCTGCTGCTGTGCTTCCATCAATTGCATCAACTGGGTGACCTGCGCGCCAGGCTGGAAGTCAAGCCAAATTCCATCCAATTTCCGTGGGCTTAAGTGGCTTAACCAGAAAAGTAGGAACTGGCTAGGATTCCAAATGCAGGAGATGTCATAGGACTATGTCATAGGATCATGGGATATGGTTGGAATATGTGCTAGACTCAGTCATGAACAATACCCTATTTATCCAAGCTACCCTTTGGTCAAAGACCACATCCAGAAATGGGTTCTAGGATGTTCTATATAGGTAGTTTATCACAATATATATCATTTCATAGTGAAGCGTCAATGGGGCATTGGTTTCTCTGGAAATAGGCTGCCCCGAAATCCCACTCTTCAAGACCTCATTTCCCCAGTGCTTCATGGCTATAAAGTGGTGGCATTACTCACACATTCCATGTTGCTGGTCAATCCTCATGATATCCCACTATATCCCGATGGTGGCTGGTTCAATCCCCTGTGAAAATTGCCTTTTACCAACCCCATTTTGCCTCCAACCATTCATCAACAAATATCACTAGCCATATTACAGGATCGGTCAACATGATTCACCACAGTGGACGCTTTAAGCCTCTGAAGAGGCTAATAATCCCAACAATGGCCAGATTCTGTCACAGCCCATTTTAGATGAAATCATGTTCCCCATCTTGGAATGGCCATATCTTGGAGTATCCAATTTTTGGATAAACCAGTATATCTCCATGGAATACCATTATGTCCTCATTCTGGTTGGTTTAAGCCCTATTAAACAACATCTTGGGGTTGCCCAAACTTCATTTGGTTTTTACGGGTGGGGTTGGTGGGGTGGGGGGGCAATAACGTCCTGTTGTACTTGTAGTCTGAGATGATACTACGCCAACGACCTCTCTCTTGTACTTGTAGTCTGAGATGATGCTACGCCAACGACCTCTCTCTTGTACTTGTAGTCTGAGATGATGCTACGCCGACGACGTTTCTCTTGTACTTGTAGTCTGAGATGATGCTACGCCAACGACCTCTCTCTTGTACTTGTAGTCTGAGATGATGCTACGCCAACGACCTTTCTCTTGTACTTGTAGTCTGAGATGATGCTACGCCAAAGACCTCTCTCTTGTACTTGTAGTCTGAGATGATGCTACGCCAACGACCTCTCTCTTGTACTTGTAGTCTGAGATGATGCTACGCCGACGACTCTTCTCTTGTACTTGTAGTCTGAGATGATGCTACGCCAACGACCTCTCTCTTGTACTTGTAGTCTGAGATGATGCTACGCCAAAGACCTCTCTCTTGTACTTGTAGTCTGAGATGATGCTACGCCAACGACGTTTCTCTTGTACTTGTAGTCTGAGATGATGCTACGCCAACGACCTCTCTCTTGTACTTGTAGTCTGAGATGATGCTACGCCAACGACCTCTCTCTTGTACTTGTAGTCTGAGATGATGCTACGCCAACGACCTCTCTCTTGTACTTGTAGTCTGAGATGATGCTACGCCAAAGACCTCTCTCTTGTACTTGTAGTCTGAGATGATGCTATGCCAACGACGTTTCTCTTGTACTTGTAGTCTGAGATGATGCTACGCCAACGACCTCTCTCTTGTACTTGTAGTCTGAGATGATGCTACGCCAACGACCTTTCTCTTGTACTTGTAGTCTGAGATGATGCTACGCCAACGACCTTTCTCTTGTACTTGCAGACTCAGATGATGTTATGCGAACTATCCTTATCTTGTACTTGTAGTCTGAGATGATGCTACGCCAACGACCTTTCTCTTGTACTTGCAGACTCGGATGATGTTATGCGAACGACCTTTCTCTTGTACTTGTAGTCTAAGATGATGCTACGCCAACGACCACGGGCACTACACTCACTTGCTTACCTGGAAATTCACTCACTTACACACCTGGGAAACTCACTCACTTACGCACCTGGAAAATCACTTACTTACGCACCTGGGTCTCCATTCTATACGTAAATTACCAGCAAATTACGCTATCACGCATTGCAAACAAAGAGACGCGACACCTTTAGGGTTTTTATCTTGTTGCACTTGATGTAAGAAGAGCCACGACACCTTTAGGGCTTCTATCGTGTTGCACTCTATGTAAGAAGAGACACGACACCTTTAGGGTTTATATCTTGTTGCACTTGATGTAAGAAGAGCCATGACACCTTTAGGGATTGTATGTTGTTGCACTTGATGTAGGAAGAGCCACGACACCTTTAGGGTTTATATCTTGTTGCACTTTATGTAAGAAGAGCCACGACACCTTGAGAGTTTATATCTTGTTGCACTTGATGTAAGAAGAGCCACGACACCTTTAGGGTTTATATCTTGTTGCAATTGATGTAAGAAGAGCCACGACACCTTTAGGGCTTATATCTTGTTGCACTTGATGTAGGAAGAGCCACGACACCTTTAGGGTTTATATCTTGTTGCACTTAATGTAAGAAGAGCCACGACACCTTTAGGCTTTATATCTTGTTGCACTTGATGTAGGAAGAGCCACGACACCTTTAGGGTTTATATCTTGTTGCACTTGATGTAGGAAGAGCCACGACACCTTTAGGGTTTATATCTGGTTGCGCTTGATGTAAGAAGAGCCACGACACCTTGAGGGTTTATATCTTGTTGCACTTGATGTAAGAAGAGCCACGATACCTTCAGGGTTTATATCTTGTCTCACTTGATGTAAGAAGAGCCGCGACACCTTTAGGGTTTATATCTTGTTGCACTTCATGTAAGAAGAGCCACGACACCTTTAGGGCTTATATCTTGTTGCACTTTATGTAAGAAGAGCCACCACAACTTTAGGGTTTATATCTTGTTGCACTTAATGTAAGGAGAGCCACGACACCTTTAGGGCTTATATCTTGTTGCACTTGATGTAAGAAGAGCCACGACACCTTTAGGGTTTATACCTTGTTGCACTTGATGTAAGAAGAGTCACGACACCTTTAGGGTTTATATCTTGTTGCACTTTATGTAAGAAGAGCCACGACACCTTTAGGGTTTATATCTTGTTGCACTTTATGTAAGAAGAGCCACGACACCTTTAGGGTTTATATCTTGTTGCACTTGATGTAAGAAGAGCCACGACACCTTTAGGGTTTATATCTTGTTGCACTTGATGTACGAAGAGCCACGACACCTTTAGGGTTTATATCTTGTTGCACTTGATGTAAGAAGAGCCACGACACCTTCAGGGTGTTTATCTTGTTGCACTTGATGTAAGAAGAGCCACGACACCTTTAGGTTTTTTTTGTTGCACTTGATGTAAGAAGAGCCACGACACCTTTAGGCTTTATGTCTTGTTGCACTTAATGTAAGGAGAGCCACGACACCTTTAGGGTTTATATCTTGTTGCACTTGATGTAAGAAGAGCCACGACACCTTTAGGGTTTAGATCTTGTTGCAATTGGTGTAAGAAGAGCCACGACACCTTTAGGGTTTATATCTTGTTGCACTTAATGTAAGGAGAGCCACGACACCTTTAGGGTTTATATCTTGTTGCACTTTATGTAAGAAGAGCCACGACACCTTTAGGATTTATATCTTGTTGCACTTAATGTAAGAAGAGCCACGACGCCTTTAGGGTTTCTATCTTGTTTCACTTGATGTAAGAAGAGCCACGACACCTTTAGGGCTAGGGTTTATATCTTGTTGCACTTGATGTAGGAAGAGCCACGACACCTTTAGGGTTTATATCCTGTTGCACTCAATGTGAGGAGAGCCAACGAGACCTTAGGGTTATATGCTTGTTGCACTGGATGTAAAAGCGAAACCAGACACTTTTAGGGTTTATATTGTTGCACTTGATAGTGTTGTGAAATGAAGAGCCACGGGCACCCTTTTAGGGTTTATATCTTGTTGCACTTGATCAGAGAAGAGCCACTACACCTTTGGATTTATAATCTTGTTGCACTGATGCAAGAAGAGCACGACACCTTTAGGCTAGGGTTTTATATCTTGTTGCACTGATGTTGTAGGAAGAGCCACGACACCTTTAGGGTTTATATCCTGTTGCACTCAATGTGAGGAGAGCCACGACACCTTTAGGGTTTATATCTTGTTGCACTTGATGTAAGAAGAGCCACGACACCTTTAGGGTTTATATCTTGTTGCACTTAATGTAAGAAGAGCCACGACACCTTTAGGGTTTATATCTTGTTGCACTTGATGCAAGAAGAGCCACGACACCTTTAGGATTTATATCTTGTTGCACTTGATGCAAGAAGAGCCACGACACCTTTAGGGTTTATATCTTGTCTGACTTGATGTAAGAAGAGGCACGACACCTTTAGGGTTTATATCTTGTTGCACTTCATGTCAGAAGAGCCACGACACCTTTAGGGTTTATACCTTGTTGCACTTGATGTAAGAAGAGCCACTACACCTTTAGAAGTAGAAGTAGAATGCACAAGTAGGAATAGAAGTAGAAGTAGAAGTAGAAGTAGAAGTAGAAGCAGTAGTAGAAGTAGATGTAGGAGTACAAGTAGAAGTAGAAGTGGAAGTAGAAGTAGATGTAGGAGGAGGAGTAGAAGTGGGAATGTAAGTAGAAGTAGAAGTAGAAGTAGAAGTGGACGCAGTAGTAGAAGTAGAAGTAGAAGTAGATGTAGGAGTACAAGTAGAAGTAGAAGTGGAAGTAGAAGTAGATGTAGGAGTAGAAGTGGATGTAGAAGTAGAAGGAGAAGCAGAAATAGATGTAGAAGTAGAAGTAGAGCTGAAAGTAGAAGTGGAAGTAGAAATAAAGGTGGAAGTAGATGTAGAAGTGGACGTAGAAGTAGAAGTGGAAGTAGAAGGAGAAGTAGAAATAGATGTGGAAAAAGAAGTAGAAGGACAAGTAGGAATAGAGCTGAAAGTAGAAGTGGAAGTAGAAAGAGAGGTGCAAGTAGAGGTAGAAGTGGAAGATTCTCAGGTGCACAAGCGAGACGATTCTCAGGTGCACAAGCGAGACGATTCTCAGGTGCACAAGCGAGTACCAGGACCATGCCCGACCAATCTCTTTTACTTGCAGACTCAGATGATGTTATGCGAACGACCGTTCTCGTGTACTTGTAGTCTGAGATGATGTTATGCGAACGAATTTTCTTTGAAATACGTAGACTCAGATCAGAAACAACAGACTGTTCGGGTTACCTCTCGATTCGACACACGTCAATGGTTTATTGGCCTTGTTTATTCACGAAAACCTGGGGATTGAAATGTTCACCTTTGTGCGCTACATGGCCTTTGTCAAAGACATAATTCACCCCAGCCAGGCATATGTAGATACAACTTGGCTCACTGAAAACGGGCGCAATTGGGAAACGGAAAAAACTCGCGATCCCCTGTAATGTTCTTTTAACATGCATTTTTGAAAAAAAATGAAATTGAGCTAATGTGAAAATTGATAAACATCTTACACAAATCCTGAAGATTAGCATCAAAACACAACGATATAAAAACCTGAAAAATGTGCTTGGCACAGCGAAACGTGCATGTGTCAATAAGACAGTGATGTTTACATGATGGAGCTCACCTAGAAGGTGCCGCAGTGAAGGGACAACCCCCCGACCCAACCTGTTGGTTACTATCATTTCAGATGATGTTCATATCACTTCATATCATAATTGATATCAATTATGTCCAAAATCTATCAAAATCGATTCTTTACAACAATCTCCATTGAATCTGGACAGATTACGTTCCAGATGTACATCTCCAGTGTATCCCCTTACTGTACATCTTACATCTCTCTAAATCTCCAAAAATATTTCTATGATATCCATTGATCCATGATCCATTTCTATATATTTCTATGATATTTCCATGATATTTTTTTACATCTCTCTATCCATTGATATCCCATGATCTTAAAATGTCCATGATCTCCCATGATATTTGAAATATCCCACCTGGGCTTCTGCGAAACGTGCACGGGCGTCACAGGTATCCAGCAACGCCGCCTCGTTTCGGAAGCCGCTGAGGGTCAGCGGTTTCTGGACCAAACAGGGGGCCTGGTGAAGCTTACCTTGAAGCAATTCATGAGAGAAAATTTGAGTGGTTTGTCACCGAAAATGAGGGTCACACTGACCGAATGATTCTTTCGGACAAGAGTCAGTGCCAACATCTATGAGTCTGGTCTCAGAAAGTTGAGCCCAGAGTCACCAGACTCACAACTGTCTGTCTCGCTTTCTCTCCCATTCCGCTCCCTTCAGAGGGTTCTGAGCGATAATGTCCTTTTGGTAAAATACAGGCAGTTGGGTATGCCCTCTACCAGGTACCATTCACTAAAAATCGCTGAACAACATCAGGGTAGCCCTCTGTTTTAATCAACCCAACCAGAGGGCAAAGACATTCTTTTTGGATGATCCAGAATCAATTGCCAATTCTTGCTGTTTGCCAGATAGATAATTTTCTGTGCATGTATACATGTACTTGTCGTTTGTTTATTTCTTTATTTATATTACTTATTTATTTATCTATTTATTTGTTTTTTTTATTTATGTATGTATTTATTTGTTTGTTTGTTTGTTTATGTGTTTATTCATCTATTTATTGATTTATTCATTTGTTGATTTTTTATCTATTTAATTCTATTTCTTTACGGTTTTATTCATTATTTCTTTACTTATTAGATATGTTATACATATGTGTATATATATATATACACGTATATATAGTATCATACATACATATACATGTGTTTATTCATGTATAATATTATACATATTATGTGTATATATATATATAGGGCGGGGCTTGGTCGGCCATGTTCGGTCGCGCCATGTTCGCTCTGGGTGACCCTTGCCATTTCCATATTTGATAAAGGCAGGCACGAGCTCTGCGGCAAGTATGGTTTTGGCCTCTGGTCATCAGTCGCTGGAAATTCCTCCATTCACTGAATTTACTTCGATGCTTTTCCCATATATACATGCCAAATGAGTTCCGGGACTTTCCAGCCGTGCTTGATTACCTAAGGGTAAAAATGTTCAGTCTAGTGTCTGCTTCCATGGATGAATTGCCCATCCAGCCTCCTGTTTCGAATCAGTTCGACAGGTGCACATTTGGATGTTGGGTAAAACTGATTTAGAGTAATTTTAGGCACTGTTTGGAGATGTTTGGTATGATTCTGGGGTATAACAATTCACAACCCAATATAAAATCAGAAATAGATGATACAATCTCAATACCTATATATATAATATCCGCCGACCCCGGCCTTTGCCAAGGCAGGGGCGGCGCCTGGGACCACCGGAGGTGTGGAACTTGGCTCTCGGGTCGCAAGCAAAGGCACACGCCATCAAGGCAACACCTCTGCCAGCTATACATGCCCCAGCCATCTACATGCTCCTGCCGAACTCTTACACCTACATGCCCCTGCCATCTGTTTTTCAGGGGGTTCAAGAGTGCCGTTTGCCCGGCCTCAAACCCCCCAAACGCTTCCGCAGGCCTCCAAGGCAACAACTCTTACAGCTACATGCCCCTGCCATCTGTTTTTCAGGGAGTTCAAGACTGCCGTTTGACCGGCCTGAAACCCTCCAAACGCTTCCGCAGGCCTCCAAGGCAACAACTCTTACAGCTACATGCCCCTACCATCTGTTTTTCAGGGAGTTCAAGACTGCCGTTTGACCGGCCTGAAACCCTCCAAACGCTTCCGCGGGCCTCCAAGGCAACAACTCTTACAGCTACATGCCCCTGCCATCTGTTTTTCAGGGAGTTCAAGCCTGCCGTTTGCCAGCCCGCAAAACCCCCCATATGCTTCCCTGCAGCTCCCATGCCGTTTGCCAGCTCCGGCATTGTCCTTTTATGGTGGTTCAAGCCTAAACCCCCCAAATGCTTCCCTGCAGCTCCCATGCCGTTTGCCAGCCCCGGCATTGTCCTTTTATGGGGGTTCAAGCCTGCCGTTTGCCCGCCCGCAAAACTCCCCAAATGCTTCCCTGCAGCTCCCATGCCGTTTGCCAGCCCGGCATTGTCCTTTTATGGTGGTTCAAGCCTGCCGTTTGCCCGCCCGCAAAACTCCCCAAATGCTTCCCTGCAGCTCCCATGCCGTTTGCCAGCCCCGGCATTGTCCTTTTATGGTGGTTCAAGCCTGCCGTTGCCGCCCGCAAAAAAACCCCCAAATGGCTCCTGGCAGCTCCCATGCCGTTGCCAGCCCGGCATTGTCCC